TAAAAAGGAGGTTGGAAACCCTTTTAGCCGCTAATGCAGAGTTTCTGAAGTAGTTACAGACTGATTCTAAGCAAGTGAGGTGTCTTCTTCTTTGATCTTGTAGTTACTTCAATTCTAAAACTACATAAATGGTTTCCTCACCACGCTCCTGACGACGTGAACCCTGGCTGCTCCAGGTGCGTGCGGCAGCTGAGAATACGCAGCGGATACACCCTGTGCTGGCGTTTAAACCTGCCATCCTCACCTCCAAATGCCTTTCTACAGACACAGCTGAAACACCTTAGAAAGGACTTTTCTATACGCTTTTCCACCTGAGATATCGGCAGCCAGGGGCCTGAAAAAGCAGCAGGAGGAGCCGACCTCCTCGAGCAGAACGTCCAGAAGCTACAGGTTTTCATTAGTTCAAAAAAGCATAAACCAAAGTGTCAGCAGGGTCGGTAAACACCTCTGGCTGGCGTTTGACAGTTAAATCGGAACATGTTTGACCCCTTCTGGCTCTGCGGGTGGCGTCAGAAACACGGATGAGATCCAAACCCTCAGCAGCCGCGCTGCGCTCGCGCTCTCCTGCGCCGAGGGAACGCCGCGACGGTGGAGTTGGAGCTTTACGCTCACCCACCCGCGTTGCTGAGAGTAACACCCCCGAGGGAACAGACTGGAACTCACCCAGTTATTCATCATCATCTTCCTCAGGTTGTACACGAGCGTCAGCTCCTCCGGAGAAACCTGGGGAAGATTACCCGTGTCACTTTTTTTTGCCAGCCCTTTATCTGAGACATAAATTCCCCTCCCCTGCTTTAAATTAGACTGGAAGGATCATTTGCATCCTTATTTTTTTTTGCCTTTGCTTTCACTCAGCGCTGCAGCATTCAGCTTTCAGAAACGTGACGCAGGGAAACGCCCCAACCTTCGCTGCGGTAACCAGGGACGCGCTTTTTCCTCACGGAGAGGACTTCCCTCAGTAAAAACCATCTAAAGCACCATCAGAATTTTTGCAGGTTCCCCCAACGCGACCCTACGTCTGTCAGGGATTACTCTAGGACTCAGAAACGAGCGGAGCGCCCTGCCCTGCTCGCCCTTGCAGCAGGAGTGCGGGAACAGGATTAGAGCAGAGCAGTTCTTACGGGGCTCCTGTCCTCCTTCTTCAGCGTGGTCCTTCCCCAGAGCGCGTTGACGCCGTCCACGGCCACGAGGAGCCGGAAGGCGCCGAGCTGACAGTGCTGCCTCAGCTCTTTCAGTACGACCCCCACAGCGTCGCTGGCACTTCTCACGCGAGCTAAACCCTTTAAGCAGGAAAAGACACGTAACTTGGGGCAGTTTTCTCGTTAATATATCACTTTTGCCCTTTCTAAGGGAGGAGGCTGTTCACTCCTGTCAAAGGAGAAACCTGTTCTAAGGCGCCAAGTGTCAGAGGAACTTTCTGACGTCTGCTTTTACACCAGTTCTCTGCACAACTTCCTTCGCATCTTCCCCGGATTTGGTAGCCACTGTCCGTAGGGAAGCGCGCTGCCTTTCCTTCAGCTCTCAGTTTTAAGATTTAAAAGCGATTTGTTCTACGTGCGCAATGATCACAGAACCATCGGCTGGTTTGGGTTGGAAGGGACCTCAAAGATCATCCAGCTCCAGCCCCGCGGCCACGGCAGGGACAGCCGGCCCGGGTGGCCCGGGCCCCCACCCAGCCGGGCCGGGGATGGAGCATCCCCAGCCTCCCTGGGCAACCTGTGCCAGCGCCTCCGCACCCTCAGGGGGAAGAATTCCTTCCTTCCATCTGGCCTAAACCTGCTCCCAGCTTCCACCCGTTGCCCCTCAGCCTGTCCCTGCAGGCCCTTGTCAAAAGTGACAGAATCACAGAGCGGCCGAGGCTGGAAGGGACCTCAGAGATCATCTGATCCAACCTCTCGACCAGCCCAGGTTGCTCCAGGTTCATCCAACCTGGCCTTGAACACCCCCAGAGAGGGGCAGCCACAGCCTCTCCGGCCAATCTAGCCCAGAGTATGGCCACCCTCCCACTGGGGGATTTTCTTCTGGCCACCCTCGCACTGGGGAATTTCCTCCCAAGATCCAATCTGAACCTCTTCTCCTTCAATTTAAACCCATTTCCCCTTGTCCTGTCACTGGACACTTGTAAAAGTCCCTCCCCAGCCTCCCTGTAGGTCCCTTCAGGCGCTGCAGCAGGGACAAGGTGCCCCCGGAGTCTTCTCTTCCCCAGCTGAGCACCCCCAGCTCCCTCAGCCTGTCCTCGCAGCAGAGCTGCTCCAGCCTCTGAGCATCTTGGTAGCCCTCCAACACGATGGGACCTTCTACCAAAAGGTGAGACAAAGCCAGAAGCAGTTGTTACTCCTTACCTGCTCCACCACTTCCCCCAGCGGGCTGCCCTCCTCCGTGCTCTCTCGTTTGCCCCACACGTATTTTTTGTGTGTTTTTATCTGCAGTAAGAGAAGCACAATTCGATCAGGGACTAAGTAGTGCAAAGCCAGCTTGGCGAGCGTGGATGGCACGATTGCTGGTTCTCTGCCAGCACTGAAGGGCAGCGCAGCATCTGCAACAAGCATTCACAGCAAATCGCTGTCCCCACAGCGGAGATTTAAGTCCAATTTTTTCTACAAAAACAAAATTCCAGCGAAGGGCAGGGTTTGCCAGCAACACGAGCACACGCATTGATACATGAAGCGTTTCTGAAAAACGAGCAAATCTAGGATTCGAGTCAAGGTGCTCAGTGGCAGGAAGCATGTGCAGCTGATCCTGGGGGTTGTTTGTAGCTACTAACCAAGAGAACTGTGCCAGGCTCTACGAACCTCTTTGAGGAAGCGCTCGTTGGAGATTTTGAAGTTCTTGAGCCAGGCGGATGCTTGCAAAGGCTGATCGAGCCGTTTTTTGTTGTAGGACGACTGCATAAGTTTCCTGCAATTTTTCACCCAGAGGTGAGCTGTAAACAAAACAAAACAGTTCTGGTTTGGGTGGGGTTGGTTTTTTTTAGTCAAAATAATTGTACAAGCTGGGTCTGTGTCTGAATCTCTTCTCCTTATTCTGCTACACTGGTAAGAGAACTCTGACATCCTTAACGGAGGCCACCCCGTGAGTGTTGTGTCCCGTTCTGGGCCCCTCAACCCACGGGAGATCTCGAGGGGCTGCAGTGAGGGCAGAGGAGGGCGACGGAGCTGGGGAAGGGCCTGGAGAGTAAATCTGGTGAAGAGCGACGGAAGGAGCTGGAGCTGTTGAGTTTGAGGAAGAGGAGGCTGAGACCTCATCACTCTCTGCAACTGCCTGACAGGACGGTGTGGAGAGGTTGGGGCTGGTCTCTTCTCACGGGTAATTGGTGATAGAACAAGAGGGAACAGCTTCAAACTGCACCAGGGCAGGGTTACACCGGGCATGAGGAAGAATTTGCTGCCGTGGGTCCCATCCCTGGAGGTGTGTAAAGCTCGTTGAGATGTGGGGCTGGGGGAGATGGTTTAGGGGTGAGCTTTGCAGAGCAGGGGCAGTGGTTGGACTCGATGATCCCAGGGGGCTTTTCCAACCTGGAAGTTTCTAGGATTCTACAGGAATCTCCAGTGAGAGCCGCAGGGAGGTCGCACAGACCCACACAGCACGTCCCCCGTCATACGTGTCAGCAGCGGGGGGGAAACACTACGAGCACGTGAGCGCAGGTGAAAATAACTGTAATTACATTGTCTGTCTGGGGGGGTTGTGATCTACAAGCTGCCTCCACTACAGCAAAACAGAGATGATTTGCTGCAGCCCACCCGATAAAAGGGGGTGAATGTGATGCCGCGACGCGGGCGGCAGCGGCGTCCTTACCATCGGGGATGTGCAGCACCAGCCAACCTTGCCTCGCGCAGAAGTGAATGACGTGGCACAGGGTCATGGTCTTCCCTGTTCCCCTCTCACCGTCTGCCAACAGGGACTGTCAAGGAAAGTCTCTGAAAAAACGCTTCAATTTATACTTAGGCTTTAAGTCTTTCACAAAAGGCATAAGGAGCTCATAAAAAGCTCATTAAAAACAAAAAAACGGTCATTAAATAAAAAAAAAAGAGCTCATAAAAGCAAGGATGATGCTCCACTGAGTGGCAAACCTAACGAGTTCCTTCTCTCCACATCCTCTCACCCCGTTACCTCAGAGCTGATGATTCCCGTGCCCTCAGCTGTGCCGACAGCCCCGTTGGCAGATCTGTGCCGGAACCCAAATCCGGCTTAGAACAGAAGTACGCAAGCTCCACGGGCTCCTCAGGCTGGCTCGGCCAGCGGCAGACCCGGGGGCG